TTGTGATGTGCTGGTTTTTTGTTAATACGTTTTAATGCATTTTAATGGATTTTAATCAATTTCAATGAATTTTAATGGATTTTAATGAATTTTAATCAACTTCAATGGATTTTTATGAATGTTAATCAACTTCATTGGATTTTAATGAATTTTAATGAGTTTTAATGGATATCTTGATAATGCATTTTAATGAGTTTTAATGAGTTTCTTGATAGCGCATTTTAATGGGTTTCAAAAGTTTTTTTAATAATGCATCTTAATGAATTTTCATGAATTTTTAGTTGATTGTGATGTGCTGCTTTTTATTAATGTATTCTAATGGATTTTTAGCTTATCGTGATGTTATTTGATAATGCATTTTTTGAATTTCTTGCAATGTTATTTGATGATGCATTTTTTTGAAATTTTTGTGGTGCTTTTTTGATAATGCATTTTAATGAATTTCTCAGTTAATTGCGCTTTTTTGATAATGCATTTTTTCGACTTTAATTAAGGTAGGCAATATCGGGATACAATATTTTTCGTTGATATGGTGAAGTGACGAAATGGGGGGGGGGGGGGTGAGAAGACGTTTTCACAATGATTCTTTTGCAATGATTTTTTGAAAGATATATGTATTAAACGATACATTTTATAGTTATATTTTACAGTTAATGTGAGGAGAAATCGATAGGGATATTTTTATAAGGATTACAAGAAGATGGGAGAAAGTCTTTTTACAATAGTTATATGAAGATAGAAGATAGAAAATGTTTTTTTTTACAATAATTATATGTGGATAGAAGACAGAAAATGTTTTTTACAATAATTATATGGAGATAGAAGATAGAGAATGTTTTTTTTACAATGATTATATGAAGATAGAAGATAGAAAATGTTTTTTTCAATACTACATAAGACTAGAAAGTATGAGGTATTTTACATTAACTAATGTTGATGCGGGGTAGAATCGATAGAAATATCCGATAGACATATTCTTACAAAAGATTACAAAAAAGTAGAACGATAGAAAAATATGAGATATTTTACATTGAGTAATTACGCAAAAGTAGAAAATATGGGATATTATATATTAAATAATGTTAATGAGAGAAGAAATCGATAGACATATTCGATAGACATATTCTTACAAAGATTACAGAAAAGTTAGAACGATAGAAAAATATGAGATATTTTTACATTAAGTATTTACGCAAAAGTAGGAAAATGCGAGACATTTTACATTAACTAATGTTAATGAGAGAGAAAGTCGATAGAAATATTCTTACGAAGGTTATAAGAAGTTAGGTAGGATGATGTGTTTTCCGTTAAATCATGTTGATGAAAGAAGAAATTGATAGAAATATTCTTACACAGATTACAAGCGGGTGAGAAAATCTTTTTTTTCAATAATTATATGACAATAGAAGATGTGAGTATTTTTCATTAAGTGAGATGAGGTGAGAATATCGCGATGCATGGATATATCGGGATGAGGTTGCTGGCAAAGGGGGCCATTTTTCGATGTATTTAGATAAGGCGTAAATATAAAAAATTGGAAGGCAGATGAGAGAAGGGATGAAATAGGTTAAAGGTACATATTACATATATATTATTTTGTTTAGGACCTTTTTAATCTCTTATTGATGTTTAGTGGAGAGGGAGTTTCGTTGCTTGTTTGTTCGGTTTTTTCTTTACTAATAGATGTTTCAAATTATTCGTAAGTCTATTAGCGTACATTACAGGTATGTCATCTAGTGGAGTTCCTTCAAAAACTTCTTGCCATATTTGGTGAAAGTGTGATCCGAAATGCGCCAGGGATGGTGCGTAGGAAAAATGCAGCAAGATATCTTTACCAAATTCTATTTTCTTTTTATCTTTTTTGTTCCATGTTACATCCAGAACTAAATTTCTTAATGTTGCGTGATCTCCTCCTAGAAGTATGTTCGGTGTTGTTGTGCCTGTCAAGTCTTGAAAAAAAACGTCCCATATGCTTATTTATGAATTGAGGAGGATATTTATTCAGTAGAAGCATGATCCTAATTTTGTCTAATTCGACACGAAGATCTTCTGGGTGTGAACATATACGGGTTGCTCTTAATGTGGCTGCATAATGGATGTTTCGGGTAATATGAGGTGGATGTGATGAATTGAACGGAAGTACATAAGGTTGAGCTGCGAGTTTTCGAAAGAGTGTCGTTCTGAAATTGGGTATTTCTATAGTTGTTGTTACATCTAGGTAGTCCACTGTTTTTGCACCTGTCCATATGATGCGTATATTTGGATCTTTTTTATCTAGTTCTGATAAGATATTTTCTATCTGTTGCGATGGCAGTCTAGTGGTGAAAAAAACATCATCTCGGAAACGAAAATATAATTCTTCTTGTCGATATTGCTGTTCTACAAATGAGCTTTCCCATTTTCTTACATATATATCGGCCAGTACTTGTGTGCAGGCGGATCCCATTGCTCCTCCTTTGATTTGCTTGTAGAATTTTGGTTCTAACCCTGGTAGTTGTAGGACAAAGTATGAGTTTTCTAATACATGTGAAAAAAGAGCTTTTATCGTATTGATAGATAGACCTTGGACCTTTTTATATCCATCTCTGCCTAGAAACTCACATACAGCCAGGACTGCCTCTTTCTGAGGGATCATCGTATACAAGTCTGCTATGTCAAATGTATACATTCTTGTTTCATCCGTTGTTTTGAAGTTTTTTAATTGTTTTAAGAAAAATATGGAGTCGGAGAGTGAGTAAGGAGTGTGCTTATTAAAGAGAGGGCGAATACTTCGATCTAGAAAGCTTGATATTTTTGCCAATGGTGATTTTATACCACTCACTATAGGCCGAAGGGGTTCTTCAAGTTTGTGATCTTTCGGGTTATAGTATAAGTGAGGTAATTCAGATTCAGTGAGCGATGGTCGTAGTCTTTCTAACATGAATTGAGGCATTTGTTTATTTGAAACTAAATCTCGTAAGAATTTGTCTGTTTTTTTAATCATGTCTTCTAGTGGAGAACTAGGTATTTCAATGTAGGCATTTGTCTTTGCCATATATATCGCTGATTTTGTTATGTAATTTTCTCGAGTGTCGAGATGGAATACTTTAGACTTGTCGGTCTGTCTGAAAATTATTCTTTTCTGTTTCTGAATTTTTTGGAAGAATGTTATAGCTGGTTTCAAGTTCGAGTCTTTTGATGTTTCTGTTGCTACCATTTTCCTTATTTCATCTTCTATTCTTTGAGCAAATTTTGTGACTATAGGTGGTTCTCGTGCTATTGTCTTAGTCATTCTCCTCCATGCTGCCGCCACTTTTTCTTTCATTTCTCCTATTTCTTTTGGTAAGCGTTCTAGAACTTGTTCAGGTGCTGGCGGAACAAATTTTGGTCCAAGATTCAGCACTCGGGCTTCTGCATCTTGCAAAATCATTGCTTTATTATTTGCTTGTGGTGGAAATCCGATTCGACTGTAGTGCGGATGTAATTTCGCTTTTGGAAATCCTGGATGATGTCGGGATAGGGCGTGCACTAGCTTTCGTTCATTGTGCACGCCCTTTTTGCTAAAAAATTCAGTTTTCGTTTTGCAAATTGGTTGTGCCTCGTTCCTGATACGTGACATAAAATATCATATTGTTCTCGAAAGTGATCTGGTAGTTTTCTTAATAATTGTTCGTATTCTTTGTTGGCTTCTTCTAATTCTCTGATTTTTGCCTCTCTCATTAATGCAGTTAAGTCTAATTTCGTTTTTCGTAGTACATTCTTCCATTGTTCCCGAAGAGAACTCAAATGAACATTATCTGATTTAAGACCTTTGGCATGCAATTGTAATTTATCAAAACTATTAAGTGATGGTGGTGGCATATTCTCTACAAATCTTTTTTCTAATTTGTCCAATTGCAATTTTAAATCTAATGTTCTTATGAATTTTTCATGTGCATTCTGTATATATTCTTGTTCTACTGATGCTGCTGTTCGTTTGATTTCGAATGTAGCTTTTTCTCTCATCTGATCTAGTAATAGATTATCTAGTCGTTTTTGATTATCTTTCTTTTTTCTGTCAAGTGATTGTTCAATAATATTTCTTATAAATTCAACAATTCGTGTTCTTATTTGATTTGGGAACGAAGAATATAACTTTTTTTTCTCTTTCATTTTCTAATGTTTTATACTTATTTTCAAGAAATTCTTGATGAGCTTTTATTATTTCAAAGGTACATTTCTCTCTCATTCGTTTTAAATAATATCTACATTCGATAGGAATGATTGCAAATTTAAATGAACTATAAGGTGTGATGGTATTTTTTGGTATAACTGATGGTGTTCGTATTATTCGTTCTGGTGTGGAATTTCGTATAGGTGATATTATCATTGATGGTTCATTTTCTAGTAATGCAATTATATTTGGTGTTTTTATTATTTGTTGTTCATTTTGATTTTTATGTTGTTCAAGAGGTAAAAGTGAATTGAAAGAATGTTGTTGTTTACGACTAATTTTATTTTCTGTATCAATTGTAATTGGAGATGTCTGAAGAGAGCCTCCAACTAATGATATATTAGGATTTCTTGGTGGTAATGTCTTTCTAGGAATGATTGGTGGGGGTTGACGTGGAGAAGGTGGTGTTGGTGGATCATCACGTCGATGTCCAAGTTTACGTTTTTGCCCTGGTGTTGGTTCTGGCAACCATTCATCAAAAATTTCGGGATAATCACTGAAGTCTAAACTGGGTGGAGGTCTTGCTAGACCTGTAGGTGATGGTCTGGCAATAGGTAGTTCATTATCATTGTCTTCTATTATAGTTTCCATTGGTTCTATTTGCTCGACTGTTTTCTTATTAGCTGCAGCTGTCATGTATATTTTCCATTTTTCGGCTTCTAATTGAAAATATTCTGTTTGAAAATGAATGTTACTTAGCAGAAAAATATCTTCTTTTTTATCTTCTAATTCTCTTGGTATTGTAATTTTTCGAAAGAATTCATCTTTATGTCGTAAGAAATGTGGATATTGTGGAATTAATAACTTACTTGGTAAGTTATTTGAATTTTCATTTTTTAATGTATCTTTCTTTTTTAACCGATTGGTATTGTTTTTATTGTGAGTATTCTTATTATTCATAGTACGGATATTATTATTATTATTAGTAGTAGTAGAATTATGATGATGATAAATATTAGTAGCAGTAGCAGTAGAAAGATTATAATGATTATGATTAGTAGTAGCAGTAGCATGATTATAATGATTACGATTAGTAGTACCAGTAGCATGATTATAATGATTATAATCAGTAGTGGTATGGTTATGATGATGACGATTATTATTGTTATGAACAGTTGTAGTATGATTATGATGATGACGATTATTATTATTATGAGCCGTTGTAGTCTGATTATGTTGATCATGATTAGCAATAATAGTAGAGTGATGATGATGTTATGTTATAGAAACTTGTTTTGTCTGTTTTACGAACCAGTTATAAAATGCTTTTTCGATCAAAGCACGTCCCGATTGTATTGATGGATGTAAACCATCGTAATGCATGTGTTGGTGTTGGAGATTGGCATTAATTATTTCAAAATTCATTTCTTTTGATAATTTCGTAAGATATTGATTAAATTCTTGATATTTCTCATTAATAGTTATAGAATTGAATAATTTAGATGGTTTTGATCGTGGTGAAAGTGCTAGCCATCCAATTGATTTCAAATGAGGAAATAATTTTCGTATACGTTCTATTAAAATACGACAATTTTTCATAGCAAGATCAGAACCTAAATTAGCAACATCATTTGTACATAGAGAAAAAATTACAAAATCAGCTTGGAATATACTACTTTGATCAATATTTTGTTCTTCTAAAAATGTTAACATTCTGCTGCAATCGCAGCCAGATTCAAAAGATATTTTTACCTGTATATTATCGGCACTTACCTCCTCTGGTCGCACGTATTTACAAATTGAATCCGATAAAATTAAACCTTTTAATTTATTATTATTATTTTCATGATATTTCATTATTTCGTGTTGATGTAATACTGTTTGTTTTTTATATTGTTCAGCATGTTCTATTTTGCGACGATTTTTTCTTGGTGGTTGTTGGAAAAGATCGACAGACATAAGATCGACAGACATAAGACAAGGTATTTTTTTACTATTTGAAGATTTTAAATGAGTATTCTTATTATTATATTGTTTTTGTTGATGTTGATGATAATGACTATTATTATTGTTTTTATTATTAGTACTAGTAATAGTATTATGATTATAGTTGGATATATTGGTATAACCGGAAAAGGTAGTTGTTGAGCCAGTTTGAAATTTTCGATAGGGATGGGAATTTTTTCGTTGTCCTGCATTATAAAGATTTGGTTTTTTATTAATATGTGGACGTAAATGAATATATGATGGAATGGTTTGTGGAAGTGGACGATTTATAGACATATGAGTACGACGAGTATTATTATTATTATTTGGAATATTAAATTGTAAATTCATGTTGACTCTTTGAGCGAACGTATGAGCAGGTTATGGTTCGACGAATATATGTATATAACAATTCTTTTTATTTTGACAAGTCAACACGATTGTTTTAGTTTTAGTAGATAACAAGGAAGCAGAAGAATAATGAACAAAATAAATAACAATAATTTTTTGTGTTTTTGTATTTTTTTTATTATTTTTTTAACTATTTTTATTATATTGATAATCAGGTAAAAAAGAAAAATAAGAAGAAAAGAAAAAGGAAAAGAACCAAAAAAAAAGGAAGAGAAATAGTAAGAAGAATAGTAATATATAACGCGAGGCCTTTCGAATTGATTTCTTTTTCAAGCGAGTGATTAAGAAAAGAATGAATAAGATAGCATAGATTTATATATTCGATCGAAATTATCTGCTCATTACTTCACTGAAATGAACATGATTGATCATCAATTCATTAAAGAAAACATAATTGATCATCTCTTCATTAATAGAAAGTGTATATATGATAGTGCTTGTCTTGTATCAATTTCGAAACTTATAATAAGCAATCATTTGTTTCTAATTCATGCAGCTCTCTCGTGTTCATGCATATTTTGTTTACTTGTTTCGAAACAAATAAATCGATAGATCTCATATTAAGAATAATACTTTTCTTGCTCATTATTATTTTTCTCCTGGATTTCTAATGGTTTAGTTGCCAATCTATTATACTACATTAATGTTAAACGATATTCTAATCTAGAATACAGGCTATATTTTAATGCATTATAATGCATTACTGTTAAATAAAATTCTGTTATCCAGTGTATTCATGAGATATTAATGCATTATCATGCATTACTGTTAAAATGATATTCTGTTATTCACTATTCATGAAAACTCAACGCATTATAATGCATTATTGTTGAAAGATGGTGTAATTTTCTCTATCAGCTATCTTTTGATGCATTACAAGTAAAGATATAATGATATCTGGTATCAAGTTATATTATAGTTCATTCGTATTGAATAATATTGTAATATTTGTGAATTAATGAATTCTCAACATACTGTAATGTAGTAGAATCAAATGAGACAGTAATATTTACCAGTGAATCAGTTTTCAATGCATTAAAATGCATAATTTTTAAATTATATACATATATGCATATATATTATATTACTCTGTATATGTTATATCGCAATGCATTAGAATGGATTATTATTGAATGGTATGTGGATGTTCTTGTTTGAGTTATAATATAGTAATCTCTAATGTTTCATTTTATATTTGGATAATATTCGGATTATTCTTAAGAATTATTTTTCAATAAGTTTTAGTTTATTGTTATTTCAGAATATTTTAATATTAAGTAGTTGATCGATTTATTTCACATACAAAAGTTAAGATATTTGAAAGAAAAAAAATTTTGAACTTTAAATGACGAGTCTGATATTTGATACAGCTACCTCAGTAGTATGCTTTGAAATTAGCTAAGTGAAAGAAATCACAAGTTTTGTTTGCATATTTGTAAAAGACATACATTTCAAGATTTTCATAGTTGAAAGCAGTAGGGATGCAGGATTTTGAGAAGGTAAGAGAGTGTGCTCCAGTAATATAATTGTTGGTGCGTATATTTTATTCGTTTATGGGGACTCAGTGTATATTTGCGGGTTTTTTAGGCGCTCTTATGAGTAAAATACACATATCAAAGATTTTGTTAGCGGAGGCTCAAAATTTTGTAGGGTCGGTGAGCCGTCCGACCACTGTCTGATCATACGAGTGATTTTCATCTTCACTATAATACAGATTTTATCTCAACGTCAATACTAAAGGATTGATTTCCATCAAATACTATAATGCTGGTTTTTCGATTATATATTCATCGAATAGCATGCGTTATAATTCATTACTTTTCAATTAAATTTCCTACGTTCATTATTCAGATATAGCTGTTTTTTTCAGTTTTAGTATAGAACATTGACTTTCCATTAGCTTTCAAGACAATATAGTCGATTGCTATCAAATGTTATGTTCTATTTTTATTTTATTATATGCTATTGGAATATAATGTTTTTTAATGCATTATTTTGTCAAACACGATCTGAAAGGAGTATTGAAGTGTATAGGGTAGAAATTTTGGACCCACTCTCTCCGCTTCCCCACAGACTGTGACAGAGAAAATTCATAACCATCACAGACCGTGACAGAGAACCCCCAAAGACCATCACAGACCGTGATAGAGAACCTCCAGAGACCAACACAGACTGTGACAGAGGGATTCCAGAGACCATCACAGACCGTGACAGAGAACCTCCAGAGACCATCACAGAGGAACTCCAGAGACCATCACAGAGGAAC